TTATGCAAACTACTACCAAAAAGATTAAACTTATTCAGCAAAGGCTCAAGACAGCTCAAAGCCGACAAAAGAGTTATGCGGATGTTAGAAGAAAACCTTTTGAATATGAAATTGGTGATCACGTGTTCATCTGTGTAATTCCAATGAAGGACCAATCGAGACCGTTTCAAATTTTGGAAAAACTTGGTCCAGTTGCTTATAGAGTTGTTTTACCACCGGCAATGGAACAAATGCACAACGTATTCCATGTGTCAATGTTGAGGGGCTATGTCCGAGATCCGTTCCACGTAATTAATTATTGCTAAATAGCCCTTGACGAGAATATGGAATATGAAGAATGGCCAGAACAGATTAATGACTGACAAGTAAAGCAACTGAGAAACAAATCCATTCCAATGGTGAAAGTAGAATGGAAAGAGCATTATGGAAGAGAAGCCACGTGGAAGAAAGAAGATGAGATGCGACAACACTACCCACATTTGTTTCCAACAGAAGGTAACATAAGTTTGGAGGACCAAACTTCCCAAAGGGGGGAGGGAGATGCGACAACCCCATTCCGTATTATCCTATTAAATCGTACCTATACTTTTGATTATGTACTTAATGTGAATTTGGATACTAATCATGTGATTGTGTATGTTTTTGAATTCATATTTGTTCATCGTAGGAAAATATGCTTTGTATTTTGTAATAAACTAAAATTGGGGGTCGTAGAGGCAACAGAAACCAAAATTGACCATACCATTATGATTAGCATAATGTTTAGAGCCTACGGTAAAATTTAATCAAAAATTGATTCGGATTAAATTAATTAGATTAACTCAATTAAAATAAGTCTTGATTAATTAGTTTAAATATAGATTAGTGAATTAAGTTAATGAAGCCTATATATATGCTAAGTAAGGTTCTTCACTCATATTTTGAGCTCAAGAAATCTGAAAAAGAGAACTTTAGAGAGAGACAGAGAATGAGTCAATTTAGAGAGAGAGAAGGCTCAAACTTGGAAGATTGGTTGGAAGATGAAAGAATTGAGTAGAATCGCTTAACTCATATTTTGAGCTCAAGAAATCTAAAAAATAGAACTTTAGAGAGAGAGAGAGAGAGAGAGAGAGAGAGAGAGAGAGAGTCAATTTAGAGAGAGAGAAGGCTCAAACTTGGAAGATTGCTAGGAAGATTGAAGAATTGGGTAGAATAGTACAAGAATCTAGTAATACAAGTGATAATTAAAGCTGTAGGTGAGTAAATGAACTCTATTTCATAAGCTTAAGTTTATAATTATGTGAATTCATAAAGAATATGTAGTTAAATGCAAGAATTGAGTTAATTATGTTGAGAATACAATCAAAATGTACATGTATGTATAAATTTGCTATAACTTTTCACATTTGAGCATAAACCATGATGATCATGTTAAATTGAGAGTTATTTGATACATGCATTCATAAATTATGAAGTTATGAAACTCAATTCCATGTTTGAAGATGATAGAAAAAGAATTCAAGCTAAATTCATACATGCATGAAAGTTTAGAGTTCCATTTTGTCAAATTCATGAAGCTTTAGGCATAAGAGATGTAATTCATCGAGTATTAATGTTTAATTACATGTTTTCAAGCTTTTGGACAAGTCATGCATGCATTTAAGTGTTGAAATCAAGCTTGGAGCCTTGTTCTTCAAATCTAAAAATTCCAGAACTTTGGCATACTGCTCGAGCGACGGAAAGGTGGCTCAAGCGTACGTTTTGAGCATCCAGCATTTTTTGTAGACATTAGGGGTTGGCCAAAGCGACCAAATTACCGCTCGAGTGTCCACCTTACATTTTGATCCTTGAATCGAGTAACTAGAAAGTTGGTTCAAGCGTGAAAATGAACCATCTAGTACTTTTGCAGACCAAGGGGTTCGCTCGAGTAACCAATGTTGCGCTCGAGCGAAGTGCCCTGTTTTAGGAAAAGTTGAAAAGATCTATTATGTTCCGATTTCTGTTCTTTTTCATTTCTGAGCATTCTTAGGCATACATTGAGCATCCTAAATAAACTAAAGAGGTAGAAAGAAGCCTATGAAAGATAAATGAATTAAAGAACGGATTGAATTATTGTGACCCAATTTCCACATGTGTTATAAATTGTGTAGGGTCAATCGTGAGGACAAACCAACCATTTGAACACTGTGAGTAATATCTTAGTAAAGATATTTTCATGTATGCTATTTTCGAAATACTACTTATGTGGTAAGTTTTTTGAACTCATGAATTTGTATCATGAACGAGTATTTTGCTTGTCTGATTCGTAAAAGACTTGAAACACGATTAATAAGCACGAAATTACAAGATTAGACCAAAGGTCGTTTTGTATGAATACACAATGGGCCTAAGGCCGTTTGGTATGATTGATGAGAATGTGTAATGGGTTCGAGGCCATTTGGTATATTTGACAAGGACACGGAATGGGCCTAAGGCCGTTTGGAATATTTAACAAGATAGACCTAAGGTAATCTTACACATGAATTGGACTAAAGGTCATTTTGTATGATTGTTAAATTGATCAAAGGTCATTTCAAACAAAGAATTGATTAGACCAAAGGTCATTTTCAATGTGAATACAAATGTGAACATGATCATGATTATAAACACGCGTGTGAATATGGATTTGGAAATAATGGACCTAAGGTCGTTTTGTACATACTATGTGAAGGACCAAATGGTCATTAAATGTGAACACTATCTCGAATTTGAATATGCGCATAAACAAGATTATGGAAATGTTGAACCCAAGGTTGTTTAGTACACATGATATGATCCATTATGAAACATGTTGGACCGAAGGTCGTTTCGATTATAAATGATTGGACCCGAGGTCGTTTCGTTATGATTTGCTTAAGTCTGTTATAAATGATAATTGTGCTTCATATGTATTAAGTACAAGTATGACTTCTTTATATGTGAATCTCATTCATTAACCTCTTTACTCTGGAATTATTCACTGGGTGTTAGCTGACTCTTTATTTATATGCATGTAGGTGAGTAGCAGGATGTTCAGCCCCAACTTCAGCCCCAGCTCCATTGAGCTTGTGAGAAAACCAAGTTTATGGAGTCAACCAAGGTCACCTCATGCAAGAGGCTTCACTTTGACCTTACTTTTTGTTTTATTTTTGTGATCATGTGTGACCAAGTTAGTATGCAACCTTGGTTTTTGTTAAAAATACTTTTGACTGATCCTAGACATGTATAACTTAATTATGTAACTGATGTGTGAGTTATTATATACATGAGTAAAAAGTTTTTGTTATGCCATGTATGCATAACTCATTGGAAAAAATTTAAAGTTTTTTTTTTCGTATCTAGCCTCATCTCAATAAGTCTTTAATGGATTTCTATCTGAGGCCGTAGGTAATCTCAGGATTACTAGCCAGTTATGATCCTAACCTATAGGGGCAGGTTCAGGTCATGCCAACATACATCTCTCTATTCTTTAATCTCTCTTATTTTTCACCCGTCCCTAGGTATGGTTGATGGATAAGGTGAAGGAAGCGGCTCCCTGTTCTCGGTACTCAGCTAGAAACTACTTATTCCGAGCTTAGATTGTAGACTTTCCTTCTGAGGGCCTGTGGTGTGACTGGATGTGCGGCAGGTCTGCGACGAACATTGTCTGGCACTGCCCCTGGTTAGGTTTTCCTCTAATGACATATAGCATGTTTCGCCAACTAGGTGTGCAATTGACCTGACACACTGTGTCTTCTACTTTCCTTTCCGATTCAGGTGATAGTTCGAACGTGATCAGACTCGCCCTGATGATGGGATTGAGTATCCAGATTCATGTATGCTCCGTGCTGGACCCCCCTCTCGGTATACAACTGCTTGGAGGATGAGGGAGCTCCTAGCTCCTACTAACTACTTCAGTTAAGATCTTTCCAGTGGGTGCCTCCTTTGATTAAAGAATGAGGCACAGGTGGGCGCATTCTTTGTAGCGGAATCTTCTGATGCTACAGGGAGAGGGCCACGGACTTGACTTGACTATGCCTCTCGTTTATTGCTTGGACCTTAGTTTTATGATGTAAATTGCTTTAATTAATATGGGAGAACAAGCATGTTTGTTTCACTTTTGTTTTGAAATCATGTAAGAAAGATTGTGGGTATTGAAAAGCTTCCTCTCATGTCTAATGAAAGGTTCATTTTGCAAAAGTGATGTTTGAGAAAATCAGTCAATTTTGTTAGAAACATCAAAACATATTTTTGCAAACAGCCACTACTTAACATACCTTAAACCAACCCTCAAAGATGCATAACCCTCGAATCAATTCCCCGATCAAGACTTTCAACACCTCTTTCACCATTTGTATTGCCAATCGGATCTCCTTTGCAACCATACTCATTATAGCAAAGAGGGCCTAGACAACCGGATCTAGATCTTAGACAACCAGATCTGGATCTTGAATAAAATGAATTGATCGATCATAGACAAGACAACAAAGTTAAAAACGGTTGGGGCTGAATTTCGCGATGAAATTGCCTACCAAGGGTGGGAATCAGGTCTTATATAGTTCACGATTAGGGTTCACTCAGGTATTTATATTCTCCTTTTACGCTCTAATTTTTGCCAAAGTCACCCTTTCGAGTTTTCAAACTTGTGAGCTCCACTTTATTTATTTTCCTTTTTCTTGCTTTAGCTTTTGGCTAGGTCGCCCTTCCAGGTTTTTGGCCTAGTAAGCCTTTCAAGGATAGTATTTCTTCAACTTGTCCATGTTGATTGGCTGTGAAAACTCCAGCCCATCTATATCCATCAAAATAACTGCTCCTCCCAACCAAATTGACTTGATGATGTAACGACCAGTCTAATTGGGTTTGAACTTGCCCCTAGGATCGTAATTGGAGCCCAATTGTCCTTTAACACTAGATCTCCTTCATTCAGATTCCTAGTTGAATGCTTGAGCAATCCTACGCTGGCACCCCTGTACATGGTATAATGGCTTCAACCTTCTCTTATCAAATAACATCAGCTCTTCAAATCAATTCTGCTGCCAATCAGCCTCCGCTATCTGAAACTCAGCTACAATCCTTAGCAAAGGTACCTTTATCTCAATTTGTAGCACTGCCTTTATCCCATAAACTAGAGAGTAGGGGGTTGCCCCTGTAGATGTTTGGATTGATGTCATATAGCTCCATAATGAGAAAGGTAGCTAATCTGGCCAATCCTTGTACGTTTCCACCATCTTTTGTAGGATTTTTTTATATTTTTGTTTGCTATTTCAACGGCTCCATTGGTTTGCGACCTACAAGTTGATGACTTGTGGGAGGCCACATTATATTTCTCGAGCAGATTAATCACTTCTCCCTTGAAGTGAGAACTGCTGTTTGGAACAATCTCGTTTGGAACCCCATACTTACAGGTGATGTTGTTTCTAATAAACTTGGCTACATGCGATGCCTTCAACACTGAACAATTGTGTTTTTTTGCCCACTTGGTAAAGTAATCGATTACTACCAAGATGAACTCATGTCCGTTTGATTGCTGTTACTGCCCTAATGACGTCGATTTCCCAACCTAAAAAAGGCTATGGTGAAGTCATGTTGTACAATTTTGATGGCGGGATGTTCATGCAATTGGCATGAATCTCACACTTGTGGCATCGCGGGACAAAATCAACATAATCACTTTCCATAGTTAACCAGTAATATCCTTGTCTGACGATTTTTCTTGCTAGCATTATACCATTCACGTGAGGCTCACATTCTCCTTCATGGATAACTTCGATGATGCATTTTGCTTCATCTTCCTCTACACACAACTTATGTGTTCCCAGATGACCCCTCCTATATAACTTGTATCCACAGATGATGAATTGAGTGGCCAAACTCCATATCCCTCTTTTGTCCTTAGCATTTGCCCCTTGAGGGTATGTCTCTTTCTCCAGGAAATTCCAAATTTCAAAATACCAATGACCCTCATCTTGGGCTTCTTCTATCACAGTAATCATCTCGTATACCGGTGTGTATCTTTGCTCTATGATAATTGAATGCATCCCTACCCCAATTGCTATGTCTACCATCGAAGCTAAGGTTGCCAGAGGATCAGCGAACCTATTGTTCTTCCTCACCAAATGTGTAAATGTTAGCTGTTTGAACCTTAAGATCAGCATATCCAAGGTCTGATGATAGAATTTCATTTTCTTTTCCTTCACTTTCCAATCCCTGTTGGTTTGAGACACAACTAGGTTTGAATCTCCAATCATATCCAATCTTATTACCTCTAGTTCTAGGGCAACTTCTAGTCTGACTATGCACGCCTCATATGCTGCCTAATTGTTGGAACTTTAAACCAAAGCATGAAGGACAGAAGGACATGGGAGTTGTTGGGTCCCATGAGCAACACTCCTATCCCGTATCCATATTGATTGGCAGCCCCATAAAATCTTCTAAGTGTCTTCTTCAAATTGCAAGATCTCTTCATCCAGGAATTCGTTCTCCCCGTCTTCTCCTCCATTAACTGGGTGATTAGCCAAAAACTTTACTATAGCTCTCCCTTTGACAGATTTCCCAGTGGCATATTGAAGATCGAACTCATATAAGCAAAAACAGCCATCGAGCCAGCCTACCAATAAGTGCTAGTTTCTCAAAGAGATATTTGATGGGATCTAATCTTGAAACTAGGATTACCAAGTGTGCTAACAAGTAATGCCTTAACTTCTTTGTGGCCCAAACCAAGGCTAGACAAGCCTTTTCCAGGGAGGTGTAGCAGGTCTTGAATTCTAACATTTTCTTGCTCAAATGGTATATAACATTTTCCACTCTCTCTTCTGATTCTTGCCCCAACATATAGCTCATGGTGGACTTAGTCATTGATAGATATAAAATCAATGATTTCCTTGGCTTGGGGGGTGACAACACAGGCATATTCTATAGATATTGCTTGATTTATTCAAAAGCATAATTGCATTAGTCATCCCATTAGAACTTCTTCCATTTCTTCAGCAAGCCAAATAGTGGTTCACAAGTTGAGCCTAATTTAGAAATAAACCTTCTTATGAATTGCACTTTCCCTAGAAAGCCTCTCACCTCATTTTCAGTCATTAGTGGGGGCATTTCTAAGATGGCCTTGATTTTGGACTGGTCGACCTCAATTCTACGTAGTGTAATTAGGAACCCCAACATCTTTCCTATAGCTACCCCAAAGGTACAATTTTGCAGATTCAGCCTTAACTTGTTCTCCCAGATTCTTTCAAAGAACCTTCTCAATGCATCATGGTGACCCTTCCATTCCTTAGACTTGGCAATCATATCATCCACATACACTTCAACCTCCTTGTGAATCATGTCATGCAATATGGTGGTTGCTGCTCTCTAGTAGGTGACTCTGCTGCTTTTCAACCTGAATGGCATAACCTGATAGCAGTAAGTCCCTCACTAGGTAGTGAATGTTGTCTTTTCTTTGTCTTCAGGTGCCATGGAGATCTGATTATACCTTGAAAACCCATCTATGAACAATAGCAGAGCATGACCTGCATTGAAGTCTACCAATTCATCAATATGTGGCAATAGAAAGTTATCTTTAGGGCTGGCTTTATTCAAATCTCTAAAATCGACACAAACTCGGATCCTACCATCCTTCATTGGAACTGGCACGATATTTGCCAACCACATCAGATATTCTTACACAATAAAAAATCCCGCATTGATCTGCTTGGTGACCTCCTCCTTAATTTTCAATTGCTAGTCTGGCTGAATTCAGCGAAGCTTCTGCTTGACAAGTTTGGCCTGGGGATAAAGAGGGATCCTATGCTGGACAATCTTAGGTTCGATTCCAGGAATGTCTTCATAGAACCACGCAAAAACATCTTTAAATTCTTTTAACAAAGCGACTAATCGCTCGTGTTCCTTCAAAGACAGGTTGGAACCAATCTAGACCAAGCGAGGCTCTTTCTCAGTACTCACATTAATCGAAACAATCTCATCCATCAAAGGTTTTGTATGCCTTCCCTCCTCCTAATTAATCAAAATTTTCAATGCCCGAGGAATTTCTTCCTCTTCATTTTCATCAAAAATTTGAAAATCTTAGTCAATGTAATCAATTAAAGGCATAGAATAGTAAGCACAATCAATATGATTCTCATTCATTAGGTTTGGTTTAGCAGATACAGTGGATTCAAATGAAAAACAAAATGTCGACTGAGACAAGATAGTGGCATCTGGGTCATCAATCCCAAAAGCACCCGACTTAGAACTACCAGAAGAACCTGAGTCTAACTTCGATTCTACAGACTTAGGAGAATCAAACTCGGACTCATTATCATATTTAGACTCCACAATGCAACCCCTCTTGAGTTTCCAAGTCGAACGAGATGCCTTAGATGCATCCAAGATAAGATCACTGCAATCCATGGACAGTCCTTCCTCGATCACAAAAACACTGATATCCTCAAAACCTTGTAACTTAGTGCTAGCTTCACGTTCAGCTAGTATCAACTCCACTTTGTTCCCTTCTGCTTTGCCTAGATGGTTGCTCCTGTCCTAATCCATGCCATTACCGAAGTTTGCTTCCTCATCCTCACTCTTAAACAACTAGTGATAAAGAAAACCTCAAATCTGGGAAGACGCTCCTTTGTCTTGGGGTTCACCCACGGTTCAAGAAAACCGCAAAATGGGAAATCATTCCCTTCTTTGATAAAATGACCATTCATGGTTCCCCATATCAGTTTGTATTTCAATTCATACTGCTTGCTAGCCCTCTTAGCTTTGGTCCTTTCTTTCACCATATCCCCTTTCTTCTTCCAATATTCTTCTGTAAGTCTGTACCCTAACCCAAATGAATAAGGGTTATGGGTAGCTTCCCCTGCCATAACAACACCTTTCCTTCCACTATTGCCAAGTCCCATCCCTGAGATAAATCCCAATTTGCTCATAAAGTCGGTTGACTGTGCACTTAGGTATATCTCGTCTTCATCTGCCATGATAGTTTGGACTAACTAGGCCTCAACTAAAGGGATTCTAGAAAGAAAAACGTCCATGATCTATTCCTAATACTGGGGTTGTCACCTCAGGCGGAGGGTGGATAGATGAATTCCTGAAGACAGTAGCGATCTTTCCGGCATGTGGGTATTTGACCAATCGATGCATTGTACAGGAAACAACTTTCATTTGACGCAACCAAGGCCTGCCTAATAACAAATTGAAAGTCGTTGGCCCATCCATGACATGGAACTCAGTTTCGTGCTCAGATGGTCCCACCAAAATCTATATTTTAACGGTGCCCATAACCTCTCAGCTAGTGTTATCATATGCTCGGATCAGTTGATTTGTGGGCACAAAGTCTACTAGCTTTAACCCTACACAAATTTATGGCCGATACGGTGTCAATTAGAACCATAGGGACCTACTTTTTCTGGCATTCCAAAGACACATACAAAAGTTTGTTGTGCTCTGATCCTTCTGGAGGTAGTTCTTTATATGAGAAAGTCATAGATGGAGTTGGCCCAGTTGGTGTGATCAATTACACCAGTTGATCTGGTGTAGTATCAATGGAAACTTGGCTTTGCCTAATACTGTAAACATGGCCTGTCAGTGTTCACATGAGGCCATAAGGTTAAGACAGGGAGATGTTAGCTTGGATCTTTTTTTAGCTATTTAAGGACTAGATCTTCTTCTTCTTCTCTTTTCCTTTTTCCACATCTTTTCCTGATGGTTTGCCTTGATTTAGGAGTGAGGGATTGAAGGATCACCTGCTTCCAAGGTTTTGAAAACCGGACCGGACCGGCCGGTTTGACTGGTTGAACCGTCAACCGGTCGGGGTTCCGGTCCGGATGGACCCTCTAAACTGGCCAGAAATAAAGATCGGCGTTTTTAAGGAGAACTAGAAAAACCGGCAGTTGGACCGGCGAACCGGAGCCGGTTCGCTGGGTTGATCCGGATCAGGAAATTTTTTTTTTATTTTCTTTCTTTCTTTTCTTTCTTTCTTATAAGAATATAAGAAAATTTTAATTTGAAACTCTTTTTCAAGGGTCTCCTCTTGTGAGGAATCCCATTAAGAGCTTGATGAAATTATTGTGAAAGTCTTCACCTATTTATAAGAAAAAAAAACTCTTTCAAAAAAATTCAAGAAATCCATGTGGGATTCAATCAAATGTATTAGAGGGAATATTGAAAATTTGATATCCCTCCAAAATTTTTGCTCTCCTTTCAATCAAATTATTTGAATTAAAATCATATGGAGGGAATATTAAATATTTGATTTCATCTTCCAAAATTGAAATTAATAATATTTTAAAATATATTATTATATTTTTCAGTCAAAAAAATATTAAGACAAATATTTAAGATAATTTAATATTTTTAACATTTTTAAGTTATAATTTTATTACTTATATTTTTAATTAAATATAATTTTAATATATTTATTACGTCACGGTTCGATTCCGGTTCAACCGTTGAACCGGTGACCCGTCCACCCGATCCCTTTTCCAGTTCACTCACCGGTCCGGTTTTTAAAACATTGCCTGCTCCTAATTAGATGATCAATTTCTTAGGAATACCAAGTGGCATTTGGCATATTGTTTCCCCAACCTTCATCAGTATAGGCAAAGTGTAAATCATTGTCTTCACACCATTCCCCTTCATTTACAGATAAACAATCATCCGGCTCAACATGTATCATTCCTACATTTCAATCATTTCCTTTTGGCTAGTAAGGTAATGTTGATCGGATTCCAGAAAAGATCTCCCTTCTTCTCAAGTGTGCCCATGCCAAATTGGACCTTAATTTATCTTCTTCTGTATTGGCTCAACTAGTCTAGTTTTTTCTAGCCCTAGTGTTTCCACCTTAGTTTTTTCTTTCTCGACCTTTAGTCATTTCTCACTTTCTTCTGCCTTAGATCCTTTTGGCTCATTGCTTTCTTCAGTTTTACTATTTTCTCCTAACTTTTCCTTTCCCTTTGCTTTTTTTACTAGCTTGTTCCCTCTTTTTTGCTTCTTCATCGTTTCCCCCTGTTTTTTAATCCTCCTCACCACTTGTCCATCCATGGACATTGGCAAATTATTCAGGTTCTACCATTTGATTTGTGTATCTTCTAGATTTTGTTCTTCGTAGAAATGGAGGTTATCCAAGTCCTCTTCTAAATCAGCCAAGTTGTCCAGCCTTTGCTTAAGTACATCCTTCCTGGCAACATTAATGGAGAATGCACCAAGTAAATCAACCTTCAATTTTGGATGACCGATAAATTATATATCTGCTAGGATCATA